TGCGCTCCCGTCTGGGCAGGGGTGGACGGCGACTGTGTTGTCGCCCCCCTTGTTGGACGTGGGGCGCCTGCCAGCATTGGCTGCTGTGACCGGCATTGCGGTGGGGAGCGATTGAAACCCCCCACGGGTGGCCGTCACCGCAGTCGAGGACCTTGAGCACGCGCCTCTTTCRGCGGGCCCGTTCGGGTTCCTGCATGTTCGGGATGCTGGCGAAATTCCTCTATCCTGCCCGTCTTGAGACATGGACCGAGGAGTTCAACGTGCATGCGAGCCGGTGTGTGATTAGCCCACGAGGCGGAAGAAACCTGAGTGGCGGGAACCCTCTTCGGGTGCACCGTCCGCCAACCACGATCTGTTGTGAGAGGTTTGAGTGTGAGCATGCCCGTTGGGACCCGAAAGATGGTGAACTATGCCTGAGTAGGGCGAGGCCAGAGGAAACTCTGGTGAAGGCTCGCAGCGATACTGACGTGCAAATCATTCGTCGAACTTGGGTATAGGGGCGAAAGCCTAATCGAACCGTTTAGTAGCTGGTTCCCTCCGAAGTTTCCCTCAGGATAGCTGGAGCTGTTGAACAGTTTTATCGGGTAAAGCGAATGATTAGAGGTCTCGGGGGTGAAACACCCTCGACCTATTCTCAAACTTTAAATAGGTAAGATTTCGGGGTTGCTTAAGCGAACCCCGAGGATTAATGAAAGCTCCAAGTGGGCCATTTTTGGTAAGCAGAACTGGCGATGCGGGATGAACCGAAAGTCGAGCTACGGTGCCAAACTGCGCGCTTACCCACACACCACAAAGGGTGTTGATTGATACAGACAGCAGGACGGTCGTCATGGAAGTCGAAATCCGCTAAGGAGTGTGTAACAACTCACCTACCGAATCAATCAGCCTCAAAAATGGATGGCGCTGAAGCGCGCGACCTATGCTCCGTCGCCGCGACGATTCTGATGCAGCGACGAGTAGGAGGTCGCGGGGCCTGCTGCGAAGCCTGGAGCGTGAGCCTAGGTGAAGCGGGTCCCGGTGCAGATCTTGGTGGTAGTAGCAAATATTCAAATCAGAACTTTGAAGACCGAAGTGGAGAAGGGTTCCATGTGAACAGCGCTTGGACATGGGTCAGTCAGCCCTAAGAGATGTGGAAACCTTGTATCAAG